CTTCTCTTCATTAAATATTACATAATATGAAGGTGCAAGCTAACTGTAATAACCTTGTAGGGTTAGACGAGACAGTTAAGACGCAATTATTTTTAAGTATTTACAATTTTACATATGAGATATCAGTACCTGCTCCCAGCGGCTACAGAAAGATCATACGTTGTACTTCTTATTCAATCACAATTTTTGATGAACAGCATACCATGCATTAGGTTTTTAGATAACCAAGAAACAAAATTTCATTAAACATGTCAAAAAGTGGGGAGGATAATTAGATATTCGTCCCCCCCCCACTCCAAAAACTGGGCCCCCCCCAGGATTGACGCTTATGCCCATGTATTTTTCTGTTTATTATATAAAGGGCAACAATTTTGCCAGGGAATGTCCGACTGGCTATCGTATGTTAGAGGCTCCAAAGGCGGTAGAATCCCTGTGATGTTGTCCACTGTTCACCCAGTGTTCTTTTAAGCAAATTGTGCTAGCTGCTCAAAAAAGCAAAATCTTTCAAGCCAGTGGATACAATACTGAAGTGAAAAGCTTCAGTAGATTTACATGCAGGAATTTTTTTTGAGCGCTCTCTTTTGCATGATATTTTTTTTTCTCGATTGTATGCTGCATGATTTTTTCTTTCTTTCTCCTTAGGTTGCAGGAGTTTTTTTTTGAAATCTTCCAAACCCCCCCCCCCTCCCCAAAGCAAATGATCCGCCCCTTAGGTACAATGCTTGCGGTATATCATATCTGCATGTATGACAAAATGTGTCACTTTGCCGCCCTTATTTGCCTGCACTGTAGACGGACATATACGCTTCCTTGGAAAATTGGAAATAAAAAATCTGCTCCATTTTTGAACGTACTTTTTTATTAAAAAATTTACCGGTCACGTATGTCCGCCAAGCGACAATATTTGCCGGTCAAACTGTTAATTTTTACCGGTCAGTGACTGGCACTTATTTCGAGGCCTTGGCAGAACACGGATATATGAATATACACACACCCCCACCGACCCCAATTATCGCGCTAGGAACGGCCCTGCCTTCACCATACTACCATTGCCACCATCTGGCCCACTGCCTCAACTGCTACTGCTGCATATATATTGTACTTGTACTATCCTGCAAATTTTATTTTTTTAGAGCAATATTATTAATATTAAAACAACCATTATATATCACAAATATTATTCGCTTGCTACCACCGCCACCATCGCCTCACTACCTCAACTGCTACTGCTGCATATATATTGTACTTGTACTATCCTGCAAATTTTATTTTTTTAGAGCAATATTATTAATATTAAAACAACCATTATATATCACAAATATTATTGGCTTGCTACCACCGCCACCATCGCCTCACTACCTCAACTGCTACTGCTGCATATATATTGTACTTGTACTATCCTGCAAATTTTATTTTTTTAGAGCAATATTATTAATATTAAAACAACCATTATATATCACAAATATTATTGGCTTGCTACCACCGCCACCATTGCCACCTTCGCCACCACCGCCTCACTACTCAACTGCTACTGCTGCATATATATTGTACTATCCTGCAAATTTTATTTTTTTAGAGTAATATTATTAATATTAAAACAACCATTATATATCACAAATATTATTGGCTTGCTACCACCGCCACCACCGCCACCATCGCCACCACTGCCACCACCGCCTCACTACCTCAACTGCTACTGCTGCATATATATTGTACTATCCTGCAAATTTTATTTTTTTAGAGCAATATTATTAATATCAAAACAACCATTATATATCACAAATACTATTGGCTTGCTACCACCGTCACCTTCGCCACCATCGCCACCACCGCCTCACTACCTCAACTGCTACTGCTGCATATATATATTGTATTTGTACTATCCTGCAAATTTTATTTTTTTAGAGTAATATTAATATTAAAACAACCATTATATATCACAAATACTATTGGCTTGCTACCACCGCCACCTTTGCCACCACCGCCACCATCGCCACCACCGCCTCACTACCTCAACTGCTACTGCTGCATATATATTGTATTTGTACTATCCTGCAAATTTTATTTTTTAGAGTAATATTATTAATATTAATATTATTAATATTAAAACAACCATTATATATCACAAATACTATTGGCTCGCTACCACCGCCACCTTCACCACCATCGCCACCACCGCCTCACTACCTCAACTGCTACTGCTGCATATATATTGTACTTGTACTATCCTGCAAATTTTATTTTTTTAAAGTAATATTATTAATATTAATATTATTAATATTAAAACAACCATTATATATCACAAATACTATTGGCTTGCTACCACCGCCACCACCGCCACCACCGCCACCACTGCCACCACCGCCTCACTACCTCAACTGCTACTGCTGCATATATATTGTATTTGTACTATCCTGCAAATTTTATTTTTTTAGAGTAATATTATTAATATTAAAACAACCAATATATATCACAAATACTATTGGCTTGCTACCACCGCCACCACCTCAACTGCTACTCTACACCTCTACCAGTACTGCCACACTACTGCCACACTACTGCCACACTACTGCCACACTACTGCCACACTACTGCCACACTACTGCCACACTACTGCCACACTACCACAACTGCTATATATATTATACTATATATTATACTAGCCTTACTAGATTCAGTACATTGTAAAATTTCTTAAAAAATAGAGTATTAACCTTTATAATTCAGCAATATCAATGCATTGCTAGGTCGACCATAGCATCCACTTGCATTTATAATTAAACTCATAAATCGAATGAAATATGTCCAAGAGTGTAATGTAATTATGTTGATATCAAAGTGTATGACGATTCATTTTCACTATTATTGCCCCATTTTTAGCAATAAATTAATATTTAATGTGTTAGTTAATGTTTGAATAAGCTTTTATCAGAACTCGATATGATTGGCCGACCACCACGACCACCTCATTACACCTATGAACCAATCAGCAACAACCTTTGAAACAGTGCGACCTCACTCGTTAATTTACAAGCATAGCGAACCAGAAGAGTGTTAAAAATTCAGTATAATATATATCTAATCATATTTTACAACTGTAGCACTGAGTTCAAAATGTAAACAAAGCGTTTGTTTACATTACGGACTTTACATCACCTTTAAACTGTAAATAAAATTAGCGAAAACCTACCGCTTTTATGGGTTTTCCTGGAGAAAAACCTTTCAAAACAAAACAAAGCAAACATGAAAATCGAACCCGTACGTAGTGTTTATCACACTTGTTTGACGTCACAAAATAATTTATGCATGATGACGCCATACTAATAAGAAAGGTTTATTGTAAGACATTTATGAGGAGAAGGCTTTCTTTGATGTTGCAAACGGCTGTTGGTTGACAGATTCCGCATGCTCTTAGGCGTACCGGGCGGGGGCGGTAGCCCCCCCAGTTTTTTGGGCAGTCGGGCAATATTCGATTAACAGTCGGGCAATTTTGGTTTGCAATAAAAAAAAATGGGACAAATTATGTCAATTTTGTCTAAAATTAAGTAAATTTTTTGGCAAATTTTGTGATTTTTCGAAAATTTGTGTTATGTTCAATTTACAGTTAATTTCAATTCACATTTAAAAAAGTTTTACATAGAGTTTCGTTTTGAATTTTACATTAAAATAAAACCGATAGAAAGCAAAATAATATACTTAATACTTTATATATTTTATAAATTGATAGTTTTGTATTTAAAAGTGTTCAAATTTCATCTATTTTTTGTAGGTTTGTACAAAAAGTTTAAAAAACAATTATTATCATGTTGCCATGGCTAACATGACGTGACAACGCAAGCCTATGTTCAGTGTTGGCATAATTACGAATACTTCATGTTGAAACAATGTTTGGAAAATATAAGCGAGGGGTCGTTGCGGTAGTCAATTTATCCCTGGCGTTCGGTGACCCTCGTCCGCGATCATATCAGTGCCAGCGTATGAAAAATATCCGACTCATACGCCGGTATACGCTGACATACGCTAGGGGTACGTTAGGCATAGGTTGTATACGTTTCAAGCACGGTCGCGTACGGTGGCATACGCTGGTATACGGCGAGGCAGAAAAGTTTTTTTAAGCATGCTCAAAAATTTTGTGCGTATCGGACGTATGCTTTATACGATAAGCATACTCTAGGCACACGCTGAATACGCTAGAGGTACGTACGCCAGATGTACGGTACTCATACGCTGGCATTTCAAAGGATTTTTGTGCGTATGAAAATTATGTCATTAATTTTCATACGCTTCTCATACGTTTCTCTCATACGCAATAGTGTGACAGGGCCTTAACATCGCCGGAAGTTCGAAGGTTTTACTCAAAAATCCAAAGGAATTTTACAACTTTAGAAAGTGGAAATACTTCCAGATATACATGGACCATCATTCCAATTTATATACCGTATTTACCATCAAAGAACAAATATGACTGGTTTATACTATAGTTTATTTTGTCTAAAAATACATTCCCATGTACATGCAAATTAATACATCTTCCGAGAAAATTCACAAACTAACCCCTCGGAAATTTGTGGTTCTTGACGTGGCTAGAAAAACAATAAATGCCATACCATCACAATATTTTATACTAAATGTGAGTGGATCGTTTTATTTATATATGTGACCACTATATATATATATTTAGATTTTCTGCATTTGTATTTCTGTGAGTGCCGGTGGCGTGTTTGTCTAGGGCGTTGCGTGCGATCTAACATGCTGCCAACAAGCTGCTAATCGGCGGTTCGATCCCGCCATGACCAATGTTTTGTTTTTCGTTCTCATATTTTTTTCTTTAAGATTTTGCCTAAGATTGCTTTTATACAATACCTTTCGGTTAGACTAGGGTTAGAGTTAAGGTCACGTTTATTTTTTAAGTGTATTATGTTCAATTAAAATAATATCTTTAATTTATAATTCGCGCGTGAATTCGAATTGTGTTAATTAATGCTAAATGCTGAGCCGCTGACATGATCTGATATGATCGCGGACGGGGGTCACAGAACGCCCGGGATAAATTGACTACCGGTCGTTGCATGCATGTATTTCTAGTAAATAAATAACTAAACAAGAATTCTGACGTCTTATTTAAAATTCTTCTATAGTACGCATGGAGAGAACAGAGAAAGGAGATACTGATAGAAAGCAAGGTGAAGATAAAGCAACAGTTGCTGAAGAGGACACAAAATCGACTAAAACTCGAGCTGTTGTAGAAGCTAACTCAAATTTAACTTATGAAAATTATGAAACTTCTAAGAATTCAGAATGTGGAGATTCTAAGAATTACAGTCAAGCAGGAGAATCTGATCGGAAAATAAATGATGATTCGGAGAAAGGTATGAGCTAATATTTCATCATGTTGATTAGCGTTAAAATTAAAATATTTTCAATGACTCATTAATTAATGACTAGAGATCTTTGATTGAAACTTTTGGAACTTTCCCTAATATTTTTTCGATTGGAAAAAGGATATTAGTTTAGGGCATAGGTTGTATAGGTAGTTTAGAATGGTAATTCATATTGTCAATTGACAATGGTTAGTGAAACGTAGTCACCATTACTGCATGCGCGATTCGCGTTATATTATTTTTTACATACACCAATGAAAATGAAAGAAAACGTCGATATCTCAGACAGCGTTTACATGCAAGAAGATAATATATATTGTCTTTGAACTCAATTATATAGTTCTTTGTATTCGTACTAAATTCAATGGAGCATGAACAAGAACATTTTATTTATGTCTTGTTTAATAGTCAAATTATATACAGGATGTCTAAAAAAAAACGCTACGGAAATTCAACAGACTGTTGTGCATCACAAACTTAACTAAACAGTTTAATTTTTACATAGGACGAAACAGCTATTATTTAGCTTTTCTATGATACTTTTCTTAAACCGTATATAACGATGAGAAATGGCCACATACTCGTCAAATAAAAATTGTCGGACGAAATCACATTCTTCCACCGTTGGCGTTGGGAATTGAAAGTAGCTACATTAATTATGCAAAGTTAATCAATCCAAAAGCAACGCAAGCCTTCTGCAAGGTACCTGTTTCGTAAAACGTTTTGATTACTAATGTTCTCTGTTCAGTGGTTAATGGAACCATGTTTAATGCAATAATGGACGTTCTTATGGTCTCACTGAGACAAAGATGGACGAGTTGAGCTTATTTTAGATAATTTAACATTTATCACTTACTTACTGAGACCGAGGGAAACAGTGTGTTTTGTGGACCCGAGACCGTCGATGTCGTTTTGTGGACCCGAGACCGTCGAAACATCGACGGTCGAGGGTCCACAAAACACACTGCTTTCCCGAGGTCTCAGTAAATAAGTGTTTTATTATATATCAATAGTCAAAGAAACAACAAATTAAAGAACAAATGAACGTAAAGACACGAAATATTTTATTGTTAAAACGTTATATTAAACACTGGCTACACTGCAGTTATAAGAAGCGAAAGTTTTAATTACGTACTAGGCATGTCCAAAGGTCGCACCTTCACGTGATGGCGCACGTGATTTTTTTTGTTATTCGCCGGTCGATAACGTATTATCTCCCTCTCGCGCTGTTGCGAGGGAGACAGCCTAATTTCGTCACTCTCACGTGATATGCTCTCAACCAATAAAACACTAGAAAAATGCGACTTTGACTATTGATATATAATAATATAATTTACTGTTTAATGCAGAAGCTATAATTCAATGGATTATGCATCGATGATATGTGCAAGTTAGTAAGAAAGTATAGTATAATCATGTTCGTGATTTCATGTAAGGTTGTCCTTATACAAGCTATTACCTGCATAAATTTTAATCCTAATTACTTATATTGTTCAAGAAGCCATTTGATCAATTCCATTGTTAAACCACTTTCTCAAATCATATATGACTTGATTTCGCGAGTTAGATATATGCACTTAAAGCGTGACTAACCACAAATATGACTTTTGGTATGGGTAATATTTGGGTCATTCGAAGAAAAAATGTAATGTATCTCTATAATACAAAATCCCATCTTGATCAACTTTTCCCCTGTCAAAATTTCCGGATATTTCAAATCAATTTTCCTTTGTTTTTGTATAAAAAACGGCTATAATAACCTCATATCCGGAACTTTGACAGTGAAAAAGTTGATCACGTTTCTTCTCATAATGATCCAAATATTACGCATACCAGAACTTATATTTGGCGTTGATCGCACTTTAAAAGATGCACATCTAAAACAATAACACGAATTTTCCCCGAGCCAACGGCGCAGCACGGAGCGAGAGTACCCGGCTATTTACACCCGGGGAAAGGAAAACATTAGCGAAGTCTAAATTTCATCCTGATTTCATCAATGATTGCGGGCGTGGGTCACTGTGCGTGGGTGGTCATCTCACTGATTTCAAAATATGGCTGTTTGCCAGGAAAGCCTGGAAAATCGTTTCACATAACAAATTTTAAAACTTTTTTCATTTTTTAAACGTAAACATTTATAAGAATTGATTTTAATAGTATGAGAAATCCTAAAGTATAGGGCAAGCTTGTTTCCATTGTTTATGTGTGACTTTGTATTATTAAATCATATAGACTTTGTTCTTGTTGTTCAAATCTTTCCCATGCCTTGTACTGTATGCAAAAGTCTCTTAGTTAAATCAGGTTTTGTAGAAGTTCATCAGTGATAAAAGGGAAAGCAAATTATGTTCATAAGCGTCCTGTACGAATTAAATTTATTTTATTTCAAAGTGCGAGTAATAAGGTGAAGAGTATATTAGCTTAATATCGGCAAAAAGCAGTTCATTTCAATTCACATTAAAAAAAAGTTTAGATAGAGTTTCGTTTTGAATTTTGCATTAAAATAAAGTCGATAGAAAGCAAAATAATAATATAATATACCTACATTTTTATTTAAAAGTGTTCAAGTTTCATCTGTTTTTTGTAGGTTTGTATACGAAAAGTTTAAAAAACTATCGTGTTGCCATGACTAACATGACGTGACAACGCAAGCCTGTGTTCAGTGTTGGCATAATTACGAATACTTCATGTTGAAACAATGTTTGGAAAATATAAGCGAGGGGTCGTTTAATGCATGTATTTCTAGTAAATAAATAACTAAACAAGAATTCTGACGTCTTATTTAAAATTCTTCTATAGTACGCATGGAGAGAACAGAGAAAGGAGATACTGATAGAAAGCAAGGTGAAGATAAAGCAACAGTTGCTGAAGAGGACACAAAATCGACTAAAACTCGAGCTGTTGTAGAAGCTAACTCAAATTTAACTTATGAAAATTATGAAACTTCTAAGAATTCAGAATGTGGAGATTCTAGGAATTACAGTCAAGCAGGAGAATCTGATCGGAAAATAAATGATGATTCGGAGAAAGGTATGAGCTGATATTTCATTATGTTGATTAGCGTTAAAATTAAAATATTTTCAATGACTCATTAATGACTAGAGATCTTTGATTGAAACTTTTGGAACTTCCCCTAATATTTTTTCGATTGGAAAAAGGGTATTGGTAAGGGCATAGGTTGTATAGGTAGTTTAGAATGGTAATTCATATTGTCAATTGACAATGGTTAGTGAAACGTAGTCACCATCACTGCATGCGCGATTCGCTTTATATTATTTTTTTACATACACCAATGAAAATTAAAGAAAACGTCGATATCACGTACTCACGTGTCATTCTTTATCAATGAATGGCAACAATGGTCCTAATTTATCCTTATATGTTCATATGTACACTAGTATATCCTAACACCCCCACTCAGACTCAGCTTCACACTGTCTATGATGAGTCTGGTTTACTTGGATTAGTTCCCTAATAAAACACAACGATGTTTCTCTACTTTAACACGCGATAAAGACTTTGTTAAAATGTCTGCTGTCATCTCTTCAGTTGGGATGTGGTGGATTCCTACTTCTTCGTTTTCAACTCTTTCTCGGATGAAATGTAATTTTGTATCGATGTGTTTCGATCGTTTGTGCATTACTGGATTATGACACATCTTGATACACGCTGATTATCTTCTCCAATATCGGTTGGTTCTTTTATAGGATAACCAAAATCTTCCATTAGTGCTCTAAGGTGGATTGCTTCTTGCACTGCTGCTGCCATAGCTTGATATTCTGCTTCTGTAGATGATAACGCAACTGTCGCCTATTTCTTTACTTCCCAGCTTATAGCTCCACCATCGCCTTCAAATTTGAAGTAGTAGCCAGTTGTTGATCTTCGATCGTTCAGGTCACCATTCCAATCTGAATCACCCATAAGTTTAACGTTGGAATTCTTAAGAAAGGTTAATCGTAGATTAATTGTACCTTTAAGATATCTTAAGACGTGTTTTGCTGCTTTCCAATGCGACATATCGGGATTTTCAAGAAATCTCGACAATTGGTTGACAATATGAAGAATGTCAGGACGTGTTTGTTTCCCAATGTATAGAAGGGATCCAACTAGACTTCGATATAACTTCGGGTTAACTAATTCGTACTCTCCGCTGGCTTTAACTAACTTGAGATTGACTTCTCCAGGAGTTGCCATAGGCTTGCAATCACTCATATTGAACTGTTCAAGAACGCTCTCAATGTATCTCTCTTGATCTATTGTGATCATGTTCTTCGATCTTAAAATTCGCATTCCCAAGAACCAGTGTAAAGTGTCTCGATCGTCCATCTTGAAATTCTCTGTCAGCATCGATTTGATTGCATCAATGATTTCATCGTTGACTCCTGCTACTATGATGTCGTCATCTGTTTCTTTCCTTACAAAGAGACAATAGTTGTTGCGACTTCGCTGATAACCTTTGCTGACGAGGAGGTTTGCTAGTGCTTCATACCAATTCTTTGCTGCTTGCTTAAGACCATAGATGGATTTATTTAATTTGCACACTAGTTTCTGTCCGTTTTCTCCTTGCTTGACAAAACCTTCGGGTTGCTCAAGATAAATTTCTTCTTCAATGGTTGAGTGAAGATAAGCTGATTTTACATCCATTTGACCAAGATGTAGATCTTTCTGTGCTGCTATTGCTAACAATAATCTGAAAGTCTCTGGTTTGCATGTAGGAGCGTAAGTATCGGAAAAGTCCAAGCCTTTGACTTGAGCAAAACCTTTTGCTACGTATCTAGATTTGTACTTATCAATTTGAGCATCTGCTCCATACTTGACTTTGTATACCCATTTTCCAGGTAAAACTTTTCTATCTTTTGGTTCTCGAACAAGTGTCCAAGTGTTATTGTCCTCAAGCGATTCGAATTCTGCTTGCATTGCTTGTTTCCAATATTTAGCTTGTGTTGAACTTACAGCATCTTTGTACGTTTTTGGTTCTGTGACAGTTTCTTCTTGGGTTGTTTTGAAAGTAAAAGGGTTACCATATCTTTCGGGAGGTCGTCTATTTCTATTTGCTCTTGGAATTGATGTTTCTTCTTCATCTTCCAATTGATCATGTGTATTTGTGATTACTTCTCTATTTTCCTCCACTTTATCTTCGACCGGTTTCTCGGTGGTTTGATCATTTGAACGTTCATTGTCAAGATCAATGTTTGGACTTTCCAAAAATGACTCTTCTGGTCTAGAATTCTCCTTTGCTGAGAATGAAGAGAACGTTACGGGCTTCTTTGAAGAGAACGTTACGGGCTTTGATGATTTTCTTTGTAGAAAACTCTTGTAAAATGTACGCTGTACTCTTGTCATCGTAACCGAGGAATTTTGCTTTCACAGATCTGGAATCGAGCTTTCGTAAGTTGACTTTTATTTTCCTTACATAAGCTGTGCAACCGAATACTCTAAGATGATTTCTTCTTGGTGCTTTACTAGTGAATAGTTCAAAAGGACTCCTGTTTTGGTTGTTGTTTATGCTCAATGTGAGATTTCGAATGTGTTGTAACGAAGCACTCTGAACACTTTACATAATGTTCTTTAATAACATTTCACAAACAAGCAACTTCTCCACAAAATATCTCTCACGATCTCACAATTATTTCAGCTATAAAACTTACACACTTTTGTCTCTCTCGCCATGCAGTCATACTACTAAAACACATACGCCAAAAGGTACTTAAATTACATACCCCAAAAGACACTTCTTCACACTCCCCCCACCTAATATCAACATAATTAAAGACTATACTACTAAAATCAACATAAAAGTACATATAAAATAGTTCAACAGTTCAATCAATAAGGTTCATAATACACTGTCTTAAACGTGTAACATTCAATTACTATAAAGTGTTTAACTTATCTGTTCAGTAATCCACAACAGGTATTCCATAACGATCTGGCACCCTTCGACTGCGTCTAAGGTTGTGACCATGCATCACATTGGCACCATCATCATTTCTTTGAACATTCTGGCGTTCTTCAGGATTCGGCAGTTTATTACCAATTTCGTCAAAGTCACATTCAGAACTTTCGGTATCTTCACTTTCTTCGTAAACCTGATCCGGCAATATCATAGTCAATCGGAAATCGTTTTAAATTGTTCGCATGAACAGTCTTTCTTGTCTTATTGGCTAGCGACTCTATCTCACAGCTAGTATCTTGAACATCAACAACCAGTTACGGCCCAACGTATTTTTCGTCTAATCCTCGAGCTCTAAAGTTCTTTAAAAGTACTGTATCTCCAATGGTAAAGTCTTTGCTCCAGCATGCACGATTTCGTGAATCATAACAATGTTTCTGTTTCTTCTGGGACTGTTCGATTCTCTCCATTACAATCTTTCGCATGTTATTGACCTTGTCTTCTCGAACAGACACTCCACCTTACCGTATGTCAGTGTGGTGTCAACTTCCCTCAGCGACCATGATATGGTTAGTTGCATTCGTAAAATTAACTTCCTGTAAGTACCCGCACCGAACCATTAAATGTAGAAACTATGCAAATTACAACCCAGTGAATTTAGTAAATGACGCCTGGAATATTAATTGGTCACGAATTTTGGAAAACAACTCAGATGTAAATGCTGCGGTAGATTATTTCACTGCTCAAATGAAAGCACTTTTTGATAATCATGCACCCATTGTCGAGAAACGTGTCAAAGGTAAACCGTGCGAATGGCTCGATGACACTGTTAAGAAGGAAATGAATAAACGTAATCAACTGCTAAGGAGAGCTAGAAAATCGAACGACGAAAGCATTTGGCGGGAATATAAAAAGCAAAGAAACAAATGCAATAACGATGTTAAAAAAGCGAAAGCATCTTACCATCATCGCGTTTTAAATGATACTCGCCTCAACCCACGTAAATTTTGGAAAGCTATTAAATCAATTTTCCCAAGCAAACCAAATTCAGCTAATTCAACTTCAAATCATGATACCATGCATACCAAGGTGCAACAATTTGGCCATTATTTTGCTAATGTTGCTCGAGAATTAAAATCAAAAGCTTTTCCTTTGGTGAATTTTGCTTGGCGTCATAACAATAATACACAAGCTTTACGTACGAACGAAATTTTCAAGTTTTCATTCGTTTCTACAATCTTTTTGAGAAAGAACTCCGATCATTGAAGTGAAGTAAAGCTACTGATATCGACGACGCAATTTTTTTTCTCCGTAGACAGTCGGACTCCTCATTCATAGTCGGACGCATCACTCATTCATAGTCGGACGCATCATTGACCCGCGCCCTTAAACAAAATATTCAGCGGATACTCTTCTTATCAGATGCGCCTTCCCAGTGTGTCTTGCGCACGCAACTGGTGATTTCAAAATATTGTATTGTTTGGTTGAGATGTCAAAATCTGAGCAGGACAGATTGTGACTTCATATCTTGTGTGGTGATGACATCTAACATATTTTATTAAGTTATGCTCGCCATTTCCACTTGCTTTTCTTTACTTTTGCAACTGTTTTTTGTAACTGTTTTCGGAGCGATTGCAGAATACCCGTCCACTTTTTAGACTTTTTAAGCTATGCCTTTCAAACATGGACACGATGTATTAATTCTTAAGAATGTCGATAACGAGAATAAGGAAATTTACTTATTAGGAGATCTAAACTGTAATCTGTTAGACCAGTCCAACTCTTCTGCTAAACACTTACATTCTATCATGCAACTTTATCAACTTACACAAGTAATCGATAAGCCTACAAGGATTACGGAATCGTCTTCTACGTTACTAGACGTTTGTATTACCTCCTGTCCTGAGCGAATTGCATTTCATGATGTAATTCATATGGGAGTGAGTGATCATAGTTTAATTTATGTAGTAAGAAAAATTAATTCATATCTTAAACCTCACGCTAGCAAAAAAGTCGAATTTCGAAGCTTCAAGCATTTCAATGTTGAGAATTTCAAAGTCGACCTTATAAACTTACCGTGGTATTTAGTTGACAGAGAAACTGATATTGATAATAAATGGGCATGTTGGAAAAATCTTTTTATAACTGTTCTTGATAAACATGCCCCGGTTAGGGAAAGACGGGTACGAAATAAAACATCTGTGGCATGGATTTCTAGGAATATCAGAAACAAAATGTTTGAAAGGGACCGTTTGAAAAGAAAAGCAATTTTGTCGGATTTAAGTGAAGATTGGAGCCAGTATAAACATTATAGGAATAATGTCAACATTGCAATGCGTGAAGCTAAGAAAGTTTACTACAAAAGCAAGTTTGACAAACATCAAAACAATCCAAAACAGGCTTGGAGGACGATTAATGATATCCTTGGGAGAAATAAGAAGGACACAATGATTAACGAATTAAAGCTAGGAAATGATACAATTACTTCTCCTATGAGAATGGCTAATTGTTTTAATGACTATTTTACAAGTATTGGTGGTAAAATTGGAGACTCCTGCTCTGAACACACTCAGAATTTAAATTTTGGCAGGCATATGAGTGATAATCTAAATACTAGTTTGGAATTTACTTTGCATCCTGCTAACGAATCACAGGTTTTTAGGCTACTTAACAATTTGTCTATTTCTAAATCTACTGGATGTGACAAAATACCGGCTAAAATTCTAAAAAAATCTGCTTCTGTAATTACACCATCTTTGACCAATTTGTTTAACTCTGCTATTGGGATGGGAATTTTCCCCTCTGAATGGAAAATTGCTAGAGTTATACCGCTTCATAAGAAGGGTTCACGCTCCGTTTTAGACAATTATAGGCCAATATCAATTTTGCCGGTCATCAGCAAATATTTGAAAAGATCTTGTATGAGCAGTTATACGAATATTTTACCACCAATAATTTATTGTCTGAACAGCAGTTTGGGTTCAGGCGCTTTCATTCCACGTCCACTGCTTTGCTTGATTGTACTGATGAGTGGTATGTTAATATGGATCGTGGTTTGTATAATCTTGCCGTTTTTCTCGATTTAAAAAAAGCATTTGACACGGTAAACCACGACATTTTACTGGCTAAACTAGAGTTATATGGTATTAAGAACACGCCTCTTATGCTTCTCAAATCGTACTTATCAGATCGATCTCAGAAATGTCAAGTAAATGGGGAACTTTCCACACTAAAATATCTAAAATATGGCGTTCCTCAGGGTTCAATTTTGGGTCCACTTCTGTTTTTAATTTATATCAATGATTTGCCGAATTGTTTACAACACTCTACAGCACGCATGTTCGCCGACGATACTAACATTACAGTGTCCGGTAAATCAGTTAAGGAAGCGGAGGTGGCCGTTAATGTCGATCTCAATAATATCAGAGAATGGCTTCTATCGAACAGGCTCTCTCTTAACCTTGTCAAAACGGAATATCTTTTGATTGGATCACGCCACAATATTAACACGTTAGAAGAACAACCGCGTGTTTTTATTGGAGATGAACCAATTAAAGGGGTTCAAGTTACAAAAACTCTTGGAGTCAAAATTGATCAATTTTTAACTTGGGACAGTCATATTGACCAAATTTCTAAAAAAAATATCTTCTGGAATAAGTGCCATGAAAGGATTTCACTAATTCTGATACTTTGAAGTCGGTCTATTATGGTCTTGTCCAACCCCATTTCGACTATACTGTTGTGAAGTTTGGAATTCCATTAATAGAGGCCAGTCTGAACGACTACAAAAACTTCACAACAGATGTGCTAGAATTATAATGAACTTTAAAGATGAGCCTGGGCAATCTCAACTGGCCCTCGATCAATTAGGGTGGATAAGCTTGGAAGAAAGGCGAAAACATAATATGGCCCGTCTCATGTTTAAGGTTGTCAATAATTTGGCACCATCGAGGTTCTCATCAATGTTCCAGAATTCTAACCATATCCACAGTTATAATTTACGAGGTTCAAATTCGTCTCTCTTTCTGCCACGACCAAATACCGAGTATGGCAGAAAATGTTTTCGATATAGTGGGGTTAAAATCTGGAATAGCATTCCTGAACAAGTAAGAAACAGCGAATCTTTAAATTCTTTCAATAGAAATATTTCCTCTGTTAGTCTGACGAATTAGCTATTTGAGTTTTGTATACCATTTGTTTTGTAATATGTATTTGTATTCGTAGTTCTTAATTTTCTTAGTGATTTTGTATTTTATATATTTTTGTAACATTTATCTACGCCCCACTTGGAAAGCAGCTATGGTTGAAGTGGCCAGCGTAGTCAAATAAAGTTTTATCCTATCCTATCCTATCCTATTTATTCAGTCAATAGATTAATAATAAATACATTGATAGTCTCATAGTCTAGTAAGTGAATGATAGATTAAAATCCCATGGTGGTAAAGGTAGCTACGAGGCATACAGTGACTTAGCATTAATAGATTAAATTGTCATAGTGTTAAAGGTAGCTCTATATATTCTAGTGGATACGCGTGATACGCAGTCAAGTCGGTTATTTTGAGAACGAGGCATACAGTTAGATTAGCATTAGATCAAATTCTCATACTATAGGTAGCTCTATATTTTAGCGGATACGCAGTCAAGTAGTTATTTTGAGATCAAGGCGACAGTTAGCATTAATAGATTAAATTCTCATGCTATAGAGAGCTTAAATAGTTAAATGTGGTGTAATATGTAAATATGTTCCTCACAACCGGACATTGGTGTTTGACAGATTATGATTAATTAGCGTTGCTGGAAGAAAACAATTTATATTATAAAGCATATTAAGCATACTAATATTAAACATTAGAAGTCTTGCATGATATTTCTTTTATAGTATCAATTCGTAATATTGTCTTAGTAATTAGTTTGTGTATATTAGAACCAGGCAATAAGGTCTGGTATATACGTATCCAGTGAAATGTGGCTGGGCTACATGATATGATTTTACTAGTGGACGGGTATTCTACAATACTTCTATTTGTGGAAAGTGGTTTTGATGGTCGCTTTGAATCTTCCAATATTTCCTTGCACGCTAGTTATCTTATACTGATTCTGTTCAATTAGGATGGTATATAGTTTTAATTCGCAATAACCGAGTTCTTGAGTATTTTCGGAACCAGAAAAACAAAGTTTGTAGATTTGCTATAGCATCGCGAAGAAAATCTTTCTACACGTGGTCGAAGACTGGAACAACGCGGAATGATGGACATATGGTATACGTCCAGTGGGTTATGCAGGGTACGAAGGGATCGATCGATAACGCGCGGAGGCCTGGACGCGGATCAATGATGCGTCCGACTATCAATGAGGAGTCCGACTGTCTACGGAAAAAAAATTTGCATCGACGACCTCCCTCCAAACTTGATAAAGGACTGTGCAACTGTGATTGCAAAACCCCTGGCACATATAATAAATTTATCAATCAAATCAAGTACGGTGCCAGCTTTGTGGAAATCAGCTAAAGTGAAGCCTATATTCAAATCTGGTGACTCCGACCTAGTAGAGAACTTTCGACCAATATCGATACTTCCGATATTTTCCAAGATTCTGGAAAAGGCAGTCCACCGTCAATTTTACAACTTCTTGGAGAATAACAAACTGTTGAACGATTGCCAATTTGGTTTTCGTAGAAACAGATCTACAAAGCTGGCTACCACATTGTTTTGCGATAAAATACGAAAAGAAATGGACAACGGAAAACTCATTGGATGTGTATATTTGGACCTGTCCAAGGCGTTCGACACTATCGCTCATTGTATTCTCTTGGACAAGTTACCTGCGTATGGTGTTGTAGGCCCTGAACTTGCTTGGTTTACAGATTACCTATTCAATAGAACTCAGTTGGTTGAAATGCAAAACAATTGCTCCAGGCCAAGCACTATTACCACTGGAGTGCCGCAAGGATCCATCTTGGGTCCTTTAATGTTTATAGTGTTTTTCAATGACCTCAAAGAATCAGTCAAGAATTCTGAAATCATTAAGTATGCGGATGATACGGTAATTCTATATGCTGATAAAGATGCGCAAAATATTGAGGATGCTTTAAACAAAGATATGAATCTGATTAGAGATTATTGTTATCATAACGAACTCCTCTTGAACCAGAAGAAGGACAAAACGGAAGTAATGCTTTTTGGAACGTCGCAAAGGCTTAGAAAAAGTAGAAAAACCTAAATATAACGTATAACAACACCGTGATAAACTTCGTGACTGAATATGTGTATCTTGGAAATGTGATAGATAACCATATGTCATTGAATGAAAATTTCAACCGATCATACAAGAGAGCAAGCGGTCGTCTTCGTTTACTCCAATCAGTCCGCAGAAATTTGACAGCAGCGTCAGCTATTGATATCTACAATATGATGACACTACCAATTCTAACCTATAGTAGTACCATCAAAACAATTTTTTACTGACTCTCAACTAGCAAAGTTTACATCGTTTGAGAGACGCGCGTGCAAGGTGATTGGCACCGAATCTATTCCGAATACCAAAGAACTGGTGCAATAGCAAATTTGTTCTATGGTAGAAAAGTGTCTCCAGAAGAATTTTGAACATGATACACTCGACAATTATTTTCAAATGGTTAATCATGAGAAAGAAACGAGAAACAACAGCATTTCTATTAAACTGCCACGAATTAAGCTGGAATTAGCTAAGCAGAGCTTCTACTTCGGTGGAGCAAAACGGTTTAATTCATTACCAGCAACAATACGAAGATCTATGATTTTGAAATTGTTTATCTTTCAAGACATTTTAACTTTGTAAATATTATATTTGTAAGATATTTTATCCTATTTGTCCATTCTTATATAATTATGTAATTTTTAGGCTTTATTTATTAACTTTTTGGCTACCTATTTTTGTTATTCTTGAGACTTTACAGGACAAACATTGATAGCAGTTTTTGTAATTAATTATTTAATTTTTATATAACTGACGTTTTTATCCTGTTAAAATATTCATCAATAATAATAATAATAATATAATAATAATAATATTGATAATGATAATGATAAGGATAAGGATAATGATAATGATAATGATAATAATAATGGAAACTCGATTTTATTACTAAAAATATACATATATACATAGAATAAATGCCACCAACACTCGCTATTTTTACATAGGCATCTTGGTAACGTTATGGTACAAGAAGGTTTTAAAAAGTCAGTTGATTAATTAAAAACGTTGTTTATATTTACATTTACATTATTCCCAATATAGAAGTTCAGGTGTGTCCCATTGTTTGTCTTTCATGCAAAACAGATAATATGTAGTTCTTATACAACATCCGATAAACTTTTTGACCAAGTAGGTTTTTTGTGGTGCCTCCAATAACATGTCTTCGTCTAAAAACTTGTAGAAATCTTTACATTCTTTGCTGATCATTCCGATTGCTCCCATGGACAGATTGAAATATTTAACCTTTCTAAAACGAGGTCTCAAGGACCCGCAGATATCTTTGTACCGAGCAGCTTTTCTCTTGCAATTTTTGGTTATATTAGTTTCAAAGCCTACGGTTAACTCAATTACACATATTGTATCTTTGGTGTTATTTAAGACCAACATATAGGGTCGATCGTCCAGATCAGTGATCACCGAGGGGTTGGCAAAGCCATCAATATCCGCTGTTCGTTGTTTTTTCCACAAGGACATATTTTTAGGGTCGGTAGGGTGTTGTTGAGGTATCTCGTTGTAAAATTATAGATATTTTTCGGCAAGCTGTTTATAGACGATTGCCAATGTTTGACATTTTCTGCAAACGCTTCCTTCCACATTGCTTTAATAACGAGACTCTGGGATGTGAAGTTATTTACGATATTGCCGATTTTATGTTCCCGTATTTCTTTGAGGACGTCCTTGGCACTCTGGTATCGATCGTACTGAGTGTTAGTGTGTTTACTTGTTTCGTTATATACAGAGCGGATGTCACAGCACTGAGAGTTTTTCAATTTGTTTCTTAGGATAACTTGGCATTGAGTGAATTTTGTCGAAACATCAATAATATTAAGACCAAATCTAGATTTAGCTTGAAGCAGGATATTCAAAGTACCATTTGCGGGTATTTAAAGCCACTCTCTAAATTTATTATGACATATCATATCCAATGACTGTTTAACCCAGGTTATGTTGATATCGGCGATCGTGAGGTGCCATGATATTTTAGGTAAAAGATACTTTGCATACAATTCCAATTTGAATCTTGGATGTAGAGGGAGTTGATCGATCTTTTTTAATAATCTTTCGGTTTCTGAAACCGAATAATAATAATAATGATAATAATAATAATAATTTCAATAATAATAATAATAATAATTTTAATAATAATAATAATTTATTTATAAAATAATCCTACTACATTAATAACTAATTACTAGTATATACAAGGAAGTGAGTCTAAATTGTTGTAGTATGTTATAGTATATGTTATAGTAAGAATTTATGGTAAAAGTCTAAGCCTAAATTTTGGCACGAGAGTTGTCTATTTCGAAGTCCGTTTCTTGAATTTCGTTGTTATCCTCCTAGGTGCTCTAGTCCCTCTGAGACAAAGTAGAGCTGACCGCAAGATGGCAAAGGAGACCTTGGCTCGTATCCAGGACATGGTCGTAGAGTAGTCTTCGCCTTTCTTCGCTGCTATGAGCTCGGCCAATCTGCTATGATACCTCTTGCACTCTTCACTCATGCCTCCAGTCGTTGTAAATACTAATGGTGTAAACGTTCCGTGTTCTATCTCAATCACTCTTTGGGCATACATCCTCTTCTTCTCGTTTTCATGTTGCCTGTATATCTGTTGAGGGCTCAGGTCTTTGTAGGATTCCGCGTTGGGGTGACAAACCCTAACGTCAAAGAACGCGGACCTTTGTTTCTCCCAAAACCCTC